ATAATAATAATAATAATAATAATAATAATAATAATAATAATAATGGAACTGGTAAGTACTTGGATGGGAGATCACCTGAATGACAGATGTTGTGGCTGGACTCATTTTACTGCTTCCTATAATTTCAGTTTATTCATTGCAAGTCCAAACGGCATCAGCAGCAACTAGCAGCAGCACTTTTTAGACTGGGGTGCTTCTAGGAATATCATATATTTTTCTAACTGTAATATGCAATGTAAACGTTTATAGGATAGTATTTGTGTGAAATTCATAAAATTGCGAGACTAAAATTCTTTAAAGATGACAGAAATCCATATTGGTCTTATTCCTGTTTGTCGTTTTCACTAAATTCAGCTTTCCATAAGAGGTAACTTCCTGTTTGTTCATTACATTGTAACTTCAAATATTTCAATATATTTACAGTTTTGTGTTTCAAGTGTGATTGTCAATACATATTTCCATTACTGTATCAGAAGAAAAATAAATACAGCAGCTTATACCTTTTCATAAACAGAGTATTAATGCATTTTTATTTTTACAACTGAGTCTGAAGCATGCATGTGTATTTGGAATAAAAATGCTGCTGAGTGCTGTAACAGTAACTTGAAAGTTGTCATCTATAAAAAGTTTGAAATTATCTGTAGTTTTCAAAGATCTGGGGAAAGTCCTGCCTCTGTACAAATACATGCAAATATTAGCAAGACCTTGAAGGCCAGCATTTGCAGCCAACCGCATCAATCATAGGAAGAAAAAGTAAAACTGCTGCAGTTAGCTTCTAGCATCTAATAATAAAAAAAACACATTTACCAAAAAGTGGAGTTAAAGATCCAATTTAGGCTTGTTTTCCTGCAAGACTGCTTTAAATTGGTCTATATATCAATGGGAAATGATGAATGAATGCAAGCTAAAGTTAAAGCCTATTTATTTAAGCAGGTAAAAGTAAAATCTATAAAGTTGCCTCAGCAAGATGTCAAAACTAAACACAATTTAGATTAAAGCTGAAAAATATGATTAAATTAAGGGAAAAAATGCTTTATCTTCATATAAAACCTTTTCAGGTGTGCAGCCTGTTGAGGCAGAAAGTTTTGCATTTTTGTTTGTTTTTTTAAACCTAAGCTAGTTTTAAAAAGTCATTAATTATATTTTTTAGTATTTGATGTAAAGGTTTATTAAACTTTTATCTTTTTCTGCGTTCTCTTTTTTTCCCCTCTTGTTAACAACATGCTTGACCTGGAAGGAGCTGTTTCACTGTTTTTATTGTGGGGTTTCTGTGTCTCGCTGATAAAATCCACAGAGCAGACTGCTACTCAAAGCTCACACTTCCAAAACACATAAAGTATAAATATAGCACATGACTCAGCCCCTCCAGCACACAGACAGTCATGTTCTGACCCACACTTCAGCTTGACCCAAACAAAAAGAAGAAAAATTAATAATAAAAGCCTGAACAGCCAACAGAGACTTCCTGTGGTGAGCTGCAGCCACTGCAAGTGTGGAGAAAAATAAACAGAACACACTGCTACACACAGTTTTAACAGTTTTAAACACATCCACTATGAAAACAATACTATGATCAGTACTTGACTCAAAGACAAACAACTCTATGCTGGGTTTTTAGTTTATATCAGACTTTACTAGTTTTTTTTATTTGTAACAAATGATAATCAAACACAGTTTAATATATTAAAGCGTTAGATCAGGCATCCTCAGTGTTTTTCAGTCTGGGACCCTTAAACTTGAGGAGAGATGGAACAAGGATTACTGTTATCATTAGGAGCTGCAGTGGTGTAGAAATATTGCAAAGATTACAGCCTTAACAGGCCAATTATGTAGCGTGTGCACAAGTCGTGGAGAGTCAGGCTGTGAGTGAAGCAAAATTCAACTGGTGTTCTCACTGAATGTGTTCATTTTTGACTGAAATGCTTTATTTTATGAGTCAATTTATCAATTTGCTACATGTTTGGTAATGTTTTTTAAAGACGTAGACTTGAAAAAATAAAATAAAATAATCAAATTTCAAATTTAGCAACCCACCCCCTTGCAGTATCTTGGCAACCAGACAACAGCATAGGATTAAAAAACAGACTGTATTAACAACGTAAAACATACATACATACATACATACATAC